TATATATATATATATATATATATATATATATATATATATATATATATATATATATATATATATATATATATATTCTTTTCCTCTAAAGAGTGAAATTCCAGAAAGGAGTCCACTATGAATGTGGTGATTAGCACTAACAAACTTTGGTGATTCTCGTTATATTATTTGTTGTGCAGGCAACATGAGAAAGATCAAAATCCTAGAAATTGTATTACCAGTTGTTTCAAGTTTTCTGATACTCATATGCGTGGTGCCTATTTGGATCTATGGCTCTAGAGGTATGAAACTTTTTCTTTAGTTATAATTTAATCTTATCTCCAGTCCCAAGAAACTGAAGAGATGGTGCACACAGTCCTGACAGGCAATCAAGGAAGCATGGTTGTCTGGGAAAGGATGATGCGACGAGATACAGAAAATTATAATGAGGTTGCTGATAGTTACACAGAGTTTCCCATTTTGAACTTCATGGCACTTGTTGCTGCGACAAATAATTTCTCTGAATCCAACATTCTTGGCAAAGGAGGGTTTGGCAACGTTTATAAGGTAAGAAATATTTTTACTGATAGTTAGATCTTTTTTTGCAAGGGAAACAGTTAGATAATTAATATTAGAAGATCTAACTTTCTTGACTCAATAATACCTCATGTTTCAGGGAACGTTCGAAGATGGTAAGGAAATTGCTGTGAAAAGGCTTCGTGTTGGTTCTGTCCAAGGGGCTGTGGAGTTCAAAAATGAAATAGCTCTGACTTCTAGGTTGCAGCATAGAAACTTGGTCAAACTTATGGGCTGCAGTATTTATGAAGACGAAAAGCTTTTGATTTATGAATACCTACCTAACCGAAGTTTGGATTACTTCATTTTCAGTACATTCTCTACTCACCTGTTGCAAAATCTCTATTTTCGGTCAAACATCACCGACAAGATGATTCGTCTAACTTTATCCCTGATAGATGATACAAGAAAATCACTACTCAATTGGCCAACAAGATTTAAGATAATCATTGGAGTAGCTAGGGGACTTCTTTATCTCCACCAAGATTCCAGATTGGTTATGATTCATAGTGATCTCAAAGCAGGCAACATATTGTTGGATGCTGAGATGAACCCGAAAATATCTGATTTTGGTACAGCTAGGGTCTTTGGTGTGAACGAACACGAACAACGTACCAATCAAGTTGTTGGAACATTGTGAGTAGTGTGGAATTTCATTTATGGGATCTCTTAACTTTTGTGCTTCAATTGGATGATAAGTTTCAATTTACCATGGTTAATTGTCAAACCAGCGGATACATGTCGCCTGAATACGCAATGGAAGGCATAATCTCCGTCAAATCCGATGTTTACAGCTTTGGGGTATTAATTCTAGAGATTGTGAGTGGCATGAAGACCGGCACCACAACCCCAAAGAGCTCATGTGCATGCACTCATAACCTTATAAATTATGTGAGTGTATTTTACTTTATCTAGTGATTATGGTTGTGTGCATCTTTCGATACAGAGGCTGCGGGTTATCCTCCTTTTCTAAAAAAACTTTATTCAGTGATTAGAATTTGTTCAACTGATATGAAGGTGGTACTATGTCGTGGACTTAATTAATGACATGATTGGTTTGATGCAGGCGTGGAGCTTAAGGAAGGATGGGAAATTGATGGATCTAATCGAGTCATCTATCATCGAGGATTGCTCTCTCGCTGAAGCTCTACGATGCATCCATGTTGGACTCTTGTCGGTGCAGGATGACCCGGACGCTCGCCCTCTCATGTCTTGGGTGGTAGCAAGCCTGGATAACAAAGGCATTGAGCTCGCGCAGCCGAAAGAACCTATGTGCTTTACACATCGTAAATACGGAGCCGGGGAAAGCCATGTACATGACATGAGCCTCGAAAACCTTAAGGGGTGCTAGAAAACCATTGGTCCTGTCTTGTCCTTGTGACACTAATGTCTTCATATAAATAACTGCTCATTTCTATTCTACACTGGATGCGCTCTGTCACCGCCAGGATTGTAATTATGCTTGTAATATGTACTACGTTTGTAATTCTAATGTGTAATATTATCCGGAGTTCTTTTACAGTGCATCTAAACAATATGAGCCGTTCATTTCCAGTCATTCAATGGACTAACTAATACTCCATTCGTTTTGTTTTAGTCTACATATAAGATCTGGTCAAAGTCAAACTTTGTCAACTTTGACGAAGTTCATAGAAAAAAATACCAAGATTCACAATATGAAATCAATATTGTTAGATGCATCATGAAATTAATTTTCATACCATATAGCTTTGGTATTGTAGATATTGATATTTTTTCCAACAAAGTTGGTCAAACTTTACAAAATTTGACTTTGACCAAATCTTATATGCAGATTAAAAAGAAACGGAGAGAGTACTACTAGAAAATATCAGTAGTATGAAGCCATTACGTTTTCTTCTCCTCTCTGCTCGGATGTGATCCATATTTCCAGGGGAGATTTGACAGGAAATTTGCACGAACCTAGAGCTAGCCTCCCAGATTGATCGATCATGTCGACATGCACTTCTACGCCTCCTTTTCGAAGCGAGCCGATGTTGTAGCGCCATCGCCTTCGACATCAATGATGGCGACACGCTCGAGAAGGTCCACCATGTTGATGTCCATTCAGCCATGCCATGTGCACGGTCGTTGGATGATAACCCACAAGTATAGGGGATCGCAACAATTTTCAAGGGTAGAGTATTCAACCCAAATTTATTGATTCGACACAAGGGAAGCCAAAGAATATTCTCAAGTATTAGCAGCTGAGTTGTCAATTGAACCACATCTGAAAGACTTAATATCTGCAGCAAAGTATTTAGTAGCAAAGTAGTATGGAAGTAACGGTAATGATGGCAAAAGTAACAGTAGTAGTTTTGTAGCAATCGTAACAGTGGCAATGGAGAAGTAACTTAGTAAAGATCAATATGAAACGAGCTCGTAGGCAATAGATCAATGATGAATAATTATGTCGGATGACATTCATCATGCAACAGTTATAACATAGGGTGACACATAACTAGTTCCAATTCATCAATATAATGTAGGCATGTATTCCGAATATAATCATACGTGCTTATAGAAAAGAACTTGCATGACATCTTTTGTCCTACCCTCCCGTGGTAGCGGGGTCCTATTGGAAACTAAGGTATATTAAGGCCTCATTTTAATAGAGAACCGGACAAAGCATTAGCATGTAGTGAATACATGATCTCCTCAAACTACGGTCATCACCGGGAAGTGTCCCGACTATTGTCACTCCGGGGTTGCCGGATCGTAACGCGTAGTAGGTGACTATAACTTGCAAGATAGGATCAAGAACACAAATATATTCATGAAAACAAAATAGGTTCAGATCTGAAATCATGGTACTCGGGCCCTAGTGACAAGCATTAAGCATAACAAAGTCATAGCAACATCAATCTTAGAACATAGTGGATACTAGGGATCAAACCCTAACAAAATCGACCCGATTACATGGTAAATCTCATCCAACCCATCACCGTCCAGCAAGCCTACGATGGGATTACTCACGCACGGCGGCGAGTATCATGAAATTGGTGATGGAGGAAGGTTTGTGATGATGATGGCGATGATTTCCCCTCTCTGGAGCCCTAAACGGACTCCAGATCTGGCCTCCCGATGAAGAACATGGGGTGACGGCGGCTCCGTATCATAAAACGCGATGAATCCTTCTCTCTGATTTTTTTCTCCCTAAACATGAATATATAGAGTTGGAGTTGAGGTCGATGGAGCTTCATGGGACCCACAAGGTAGGGGGCGCGCCCTAGTGGGGGGGGGGGGCTCCACCCTTGTGGACAGCCGGTGGGTCCCCTTCTTTTGATTCTTTCGCCAATATTTTTTATATATTCCAAAAATATTCTCCGTGAAGTTTTATGTCATTCTAAGAACTTTTATTTCTGAACAAAAATAACACCAAGGCAATTCTACTGAAAACAGCATCACTCCAGATTAGTTCCGTTCAAATCATGCAAATTAGAGTCCAAAACAAGGACAAAAGAGTTTGGAAAAGTAGATACGATGGAGACGTATCAGCACCCAAAGCTTAACCCATTGCTTGTCCTCACGCAATTTAGTTGACAAACTGAAAGTGATAAAGAGAAACTTTTACAAGCTCTGTTTGATCTTGTTGTTGCAAATATGTAAAGCCAGCATCCAATTTTTCAACAAAGATTATGAACTAACCATATTCACAATAACTGAGTCATCTCTGACTGCTCTTGTGACTCGAGATACTGGTATTCGTGAAGGTATGTCGCAACACATGTTTGCCGTAGTTTCGGAGCCTTTTATCTCTGAATGTTCTGCTTCTAGGAAGCGCAAGGGGAAGATGCAGGTCCCAGTTGACACTGCCAGCCTTTGGCGTAGTAACTGCTCCAACAAATATGATGGCTTTCGCGTCAGTTCCCTCTCTGAAGCTCGTCCCAGCAAGTCCAAAGTGAAGCCCCGGGTGACACCCTCTGCTTCTACAAACACTTGTACTGTTGCTTTGGATATGCAGGGGCAAACTGATCCCGTTCCTCCACCCGCTGCCATCACCACCATGCAAGCTATTGGCACACAACTCTGTGTCATTCCAGAGGAGGAGCTCTCCATTGCATCACTCATGGATGACAAGACGTGCCCCTCTACCTCGGCTTAAGAGTTGAACTTTTCTTTATTTCAGTTAAATGGTACTTTTTCAAAACTAGAATGTCTTATGCTGGAATATTCGTTGACTTAACTCCTCTAAAAACAATTAGGGTTGTCAAATGCAATCCGTGCTAGTGGATTCTCTATTATTTGCTTGCAAGAAATGAAAATGACAACATTTAATGCCTCCACTCTTAAGTTATTATGACCTAAACGCTTCGACAAATACGCTTTCATCCCATCTATAGGCATATGGAGGGGCATTGTGATGATCTAGAATAGCAATATCTTAACTCGTATGGTGATTATTGAAGAACAATTCGCTTTAGGTATTGAATTTATCTCCACCCAAGATGCTCATCGATGCACATTGGTGAATATTTGTGGCCCATGTCAAGGGGAACAACGGGATAATTTTACTAAGTGGTTATTTGACCTTGACATTCCCTCTTCTGGAGATTGGTTGCTTCTCAGAGATTTCAATTATATTCGAGCGCCTAAAAACCATAACTTACCTGGACGATACATACATGATTTGTTCACTTTTAACGGTTTTATAAGAGAACAAGAACTCACTGAGCTACCTATCAAGGGACGGGCTTATACATGGTCCAACATGCAGCAAAACCCTCTCCTCAAGCAACTTGACTGGTTCTGTACAAAGCTTAATTGGACCACCTCCTTCCCCAACACATGGTAAACCCCCTTGAACGTCCAGTATCTAATCACATACCTTGCTTGATTCATTCAGACCAAGATACCTAAAAGAAAAATATTCAGATTTGAAACATACTTGATCGCCCATCCAGGATTCATGGAAGTGGTGGATCAAGCTTGGAACGAGCCAATCAAACATGGTAAAAATAATAATGCAGCATCCATAATCTGTCAGAAATTCAAAGATGTACGTCAAGCATTAAGTCACTGGAGCAAGAAAATATCCCGATAAAAAGTGGCCATTGACAACATGAACAAAGCAATTATAGAACTAGATTCCACCGAAGACCGACGAATCCTAACCATATCTGAAGGTAAATTCCGGACTATTCTAAAACATCATCTCATCAGACTTCAACATTATCAGATAGAATATTGGAAGAAAAGATGCACTACCCATGGGATTAAATTTGGCGACGAGAACACTAAACTTTTCCACACTGTTGCCACTGAGAGATACAGACGTAACTGCATTGCAACCCGGAAGACTGCTAGTCCTAGTTGATGACCATTCAGGAAAAGAATCTATCCTGTTTGAAGCATTTAAGCTTTGCACCTGAAACTCCGGTGGCCGGAGCACCAGCAGCGAGAGCAGCGGACGGGATCACGGCAGTCGGAGATGCTGTGGTCACTGGCGAGGCACCGAAAGCATCTAGGTTTTTGTTTTCGAGAGTATCGGTGGTGGATGTGTTTGAGGCTGGCCATCGGGGGAGGGGCTGATTTATAGGCGGGGGAGGCCGGAGGGTGGGAGGGGTCGATTGCAGCGTCCTGAGATGGGGAGCTCAGCAAAACCTCCCGGTAGGAGCGCGGGGTCTGCAGCAGCGTGGAGACCGAAGAGCACGCAGGGGTGGCAGCGATGGCAGGAGCGAGGCACTGGTCTATGGCGATCTCGGGACGAAGCTGAGGGAACGGGGCGTTGTATAGGCTGACGAAGGTAGGGGAGGCAGGTGGTGGAGTAGACGTGATGATGGATGC